ATTTGAGCATTTTAATTCATTTTGCGTCTAACGTGCACATCAAGTGACATGGGTTAATACATATATTTGGTTTACTGTAACTATCTATATCAATCCTTGACCAACATCCGATAATACCGATCATCCTCACAAAGAGAGACGCTCCACAAAGGAGCAAGTAAAAAAAAATTCGAACATGAACCAGTCCGAGAGTAGTCTGAATCGAGTTTCACGATCCACGAAGGATACGCGAGCCACGAAGTGAACTCAAGGACGAACCAATCCCATCGTCAAATACAATCAGTCACACCTCATACGCAAGGAGTTGGAGTCTCCAGTACAGGCAGTGAATATTGGCAAACGTTAACGTTCGCCAGAAAAGGTGACCCCAGGTAGGTCGATGATCAGGCGCAGGCGCCCGATAGGCTTCTGTCAACGCCTTCTTGACAGGCGAAGGCGCGATAGCGACGACTGACTGAACATCCATCAACGATGAATGAGTTCGCCCGATCCTCGCAACGCCTTTCAAAGCTTTCATTCTCGCCCTCCTCTGCTGTACACAGGATCTTGGGGATGTGAAAAGTGAAGCTGCTTTTCTGGTACGTCGCGCAGCTGATTACAGCTGGGCTCTGCTAGAGCCAATCGAGGAGGATTAGAATGCTCAGACCTTAGCCCGCTCAGGAATCTGGATGCGTGAAGCAACCCTGTGTGTGATGAGCATTCGTGGCTTTCGAGCTGGTTGAGGACAAAAGTGGTTTTGAAGTCCGCTTGATCCTTTATTCCATGAAGAGCTATCATATTTATGTAAGCTGAGCGCTGAAGCGCTGAAGGCTCGGACAAGGGGAGCCAGATCTATTGACACTAGCCATGATACTTCACACTCCGTCACTTGCCAAGAGTCCAGTATCAATTTTTATGGGTATCAGTATATACTTGCACAAGGTGACATTCGTATGATTTTACATTTACACCGCCAAGCCACTCCGCAACCTCGACAACGTGAAATAACTCGAAGCGTTTAAAATCACTTCTTTACCATCCTCTCCATTGACGTGTACCTTGGCATCTATCTTGAAAGTCCTTGTCTCCGCTCGCTGAAAAAGTACGAACGGGATTGGGATCCAGAAGCGCAAGTGCCAGCCGAAATTACCAGCCCGGTCCATGGTAGAACACCAAGGAACATTTCCAATGTGAATGCCTCGAGACAAATCGGGGGTAGGCGCATGGTTCACGTAGCGTATCGTGGCGCCATCGTAAAACGTCTTGAGCGCAATTTGTGGATGGGACTTGTAGTGGCCATTTATCGCGACCGTGGTGCAGACAAGATCAACGATCGTGACGTCAGAAATAACCCGAGGGTCGAAATTGTTCGTGGAGGGATATGCAATTATCAGTTTCGCCGGGAAGATGAAGAACGCGCTATGCATTCGTAAAACACTAAGCGCAGGAACACTAATATGTAGTTGGTCAACTTACTAGTCGGGCGCGTCCCATGTCGTGACATGGCGTTCGTAGCAGCGGACGTTTAAGTTAAGGTCTTCTAAGGCATACTTCCCGGGCGTATCGGCGACCGTAGTCTGTGAAATGGGCTTTGGTCCTCCAACATCGTCGACACGAAAGGGAACTTGAGGGATAGTGAGATGCTGGAGAACGCGTGAAGTAATGCTCGCGATGTCCGTTTTAGAACCATTCAAAGACGCTGATCGTTGGAGTCTGTGAGCGCCTGAATTTTTTGAAGGTGACTTGGCCCCAGATGGCGTGGAGCTCTTGACTGCATGCGCCCAAGTTGTCTTGGGAGAAGCCACTGTCTCTGACCTGCGTAGGAGTCGACGAATGGCTCGGAGGGGACGGATTATGGCAATCGACCGGGAAGACGACTTCCTGTTGAGAGTAGGGGGGATAACCAAGATGGGTTTGCTCTCGTCTAATGCGAAAAGGCTTGCTAGGTCTGGGCTTGACGGAATGTGGTAGATCACGCCATCCTCCTTCTTGAAGCGTCGGAGAGTAGTACCCTTCGTACGCAAACTACTGTCTGACGTTGTGGAGTACTTGCCAATCGCTGTTTCAGCAGGTTCGTCGTAGTTGGCGCCTCCAGTATGAGTATCTATATCAGCAGCGGGAGACATTCAAGGGATCAAAGTTGCAAGTATGGGTGAAGTTGGAAGAGAACATCAAAGGAGCTAGCGCTTATATAGGGATTTTCAGTGTTGTGGAAACTACATAGCTTGATCCACTGACAACGAAGCCACTGGACAGTCTTTCGGTGGAGTCCCGCTTTGTCATGTGCATTGTGCACGTGTATGGGCCTTTCTAATTTAAAGTCTTCCGTGTTCCGAGTCCCGACGCACCTGAGTCTATATAGACACATGACATTGCACTTGCTCACCAGAAGGGCAGTTCATCGATCATCAGTCCTACTGCGAACGATGTCGTCAAAAGCATACGTTGTTCCCATTGACCCAAAGAATCCTGCAGGCAATGCTGCTCCAGGTGTCAACCCAGCATCCTTGTGGTCTTCACTTCCTCAGACGCAGAAGCCTGCCAAGGTTGGCACGTCCCATCTCTTCTATGGGACTCCCGCGTTCGATGTAACTGCACTTGTGTCACTTGGTGAGGGGTTTGACTCCAAAACTGGTGATGTAAGACGAGAAATTGTCCGCAAGGCCATTGGCAGTGGTGTCAAGAGTGTCAAAGGACTCGGTGATGGTGTTTCTGAGGCTGTTATCGATGCATCAACAGATCCTCACGCTGCTGGTAAGATATAGTCTGGTCTATACCTTGCCTCAACTTATGTTTCTCTTAAAGCCGTCGCTGCTCATCTTGCTCTTTACAACTTCTCGCTCAAAACGTCGCCTCCATCGGCGTTCGACCCACGGGGAACGGCGGGCGTGCCGAAGAAGCTTAAAATATCAACGAATACCAACTCTGCTGACTGGGATCGTGGTGTCGTCTATGCAAATGCGCAGAACCTTGCGAGAACAGTGAGTTCATGGAACCAGATGGCCTCTTGATCTGTGTGGGAGAATATAACCGACTCCCTTAGTTAATGGAACTGCCCGCGAATATGATGACACCTACTGTACGTTCATCTTTGAGCTCTCCAAGTGATTGAATTCATATCACTATGTTGCAAGGCATTCTGCGAGCGTGTCCAAGCAGAATTTAGCGGTATCCCCAACGTGGAGGTTATTGTTCGCGATGAAGGTTAGATGTTCTCTAGTTTTTGAAGTTCTTCCAATACATGTACTAATGCCTTGACAGCTTGGGCGGCTGAAAAGGGCATGGTACATATTTTACACTCGATGTACGTTCAATGTTGACGTGCTCTCATGTAGCGCACTTTCCTCTCGGTAACTCAGGGGACTGATCAGCCAGCGAAGTTCCTCGAGATGTAAGCACACCTTGCCCTCTTTTTCTGCACTATCGTTTACACTTTGATGGTTTCAAAAGCCACTACAAGGGTGCCCCTTCAAAAGACGCACAACCTCTTGCTTTTGTGGGCAAGGGCATCACTTTCGACAGTGGAGGAATCAGCTTGAAACCTTCAGCAGTAAGACCATCGTTCTTCAACTGGTTGGTCTTCCGCTCACCGTACTTAACTGTATATAGGGCATGAAGCTGATGCGCGGTGACATGGGTATAGTCTATTGAACTGAGTTTGAAAGCGGTCACTAACTTTGAATTGCAGGTGGGGCGGCTACAGTCGTATCGTCTCTACTCGCCATTGCCCAGCTCCAACTCCCGTACGTTGATGTCCTCTTCGATCTCCCCTGACTTTTATTTATCCTTATTGCAGAATCAATGTTGTCGCCGTTACTCCGCTTTGCGAGAACTTGCCCGGCCCCAAAGCTACCAAGCCAGGCGATGTGTAAGATTTGGAACACAATATTCATCATGTCTTGGACTGACCATTTGCCAGAATATACGCTATGAACGGCAAATCTGTCGAGGTCGACAACACGGATGCTGAAGGTCGTCTTGTTCTAGCTGGTGAGCACTCTTGCCAACGACTAACGTCGTGATGGATTCTAACTTTCTCAAAGATGCGTTGTACTACGCATCAACTGAGTTCAAGCCACACACAGTCATCGACGTTGCCACTCTCACCGGGTATATATTGATTGTTCGCACTTCTCAGCTTGAATTTATTATTGAATAGGGCTATGGATGTCGCGCTGGGCGAGATCTACACCGGTGTTTTCACGGTTCGTCATCTCATCACTACCCACTGATACGCCGTGGACTAAACTCTTGCATTAGACCTCCGATGCCCTTTGGGAGCGATTGAGTGTTGCCGGAGAGAACGAGTACGACCGGTTCTGGCGTATGCCCCTAGACGAAGATTATGGACCACAAATCTATTCCTCTAACGCTGACTTATGCAACGTCGGTCGCCTATTCTTTACGTTAGCTTTGCTCGAACTTGACACTGTCTTCTGTTTTTTTTAGACTGGCGGGAAACCAGCAGGCTCATGTACCGCTGCACTGTTCCTCAAGGCGTTCGTAGATGGTATTGAGGCCAAGGATGGACAAGAACCCTCTGTCCGATGGGCTCACCTTGATATTGCTGGAACTATGGAGGTCAGAATTTGCCGCTTATGAAATCAAATGCAGCACGTATGCCATGAGCATAAGTGCGATCTAAGCAATGGCGTAGTTCGCAATGTGCCCTTTATCATGACTGCCTCTATGTTTAGTTCCGTTTGCTGATAATTTCATTGTAGTTCACGCGGCCAATACCATATCAAGAGAAGGGAATGACTGGGCGTCCTGTCCGGTAAGTCGTTTTCAATAAATTTTATACATTTATTTAATATCATCGTTCAGTGCATTGGTCGAATTTGTCAGGCGTCTCTCGAGCTAAGGATGAGATGTGTAAAGATGCGTATTGCACACTACGCTAAGCCTCCATTTTGCGCGTTTGCAAAACGTCAATGAATTTAACAGTGAAATCTGTGTGCAGTACGCTAGAATATTTGATCAAATGATTACTTGGTTTGTGTGGACTAAATGTCCGATGTTTATGGGACTATGCCTGAATCACCAATGTAATGAACGGCATGGTCCCGTACTGCGTAGACGATACTACTGTCAGTGCGCTCAAAGTATTTCAGCAGTGCAACACACCGATGTGCTGTGGTACTCTTCGGAGACCGATTGATCGAAGGAACTCGAGTAATTTTTTGTGTTATTTCTTCAGGAATAGTAATGGCAGGCAAGTATTGTTCCTGGGCACCAGCTATTCCAGAGTTCGGAAGTGAGTATCATATGAGTCAATCACTCCTGCATACGTTGGTGACGTGTCACATAGAAGACAAGGTTGTAAAACGCTCGATGTTTATAGTCAATTATATTGTATCGGAACACGACGACAACCAAGCGCCAGAACAGAGCGTAACCTAGTCTGGCCATATCTAAAACAATTGAGTGGCAATTAAGATCCACAAGTAAAAGTTGACACTTGATTCATATCTATCTATCTAACATCTCCATTAATCAACTATCGCAAAAATATCATCATGAAGTGGGGCTAAATGTATTGAATTTAGCAAACGCAAGGACGGACGGTGAAGACTAAGAACTCACGCATTTCGGCAGCTTGACCAGCGTGTCCCATGTGCCATGCGGCTCAAATCAAGCTCAGCACCTCTTGGGATCACCCATAAAGTCCAAGGAGTGCAAATTGCATGCTGGGAAGCGGGGGGTATCCAGAAAAGAAGCTGTCGATTGGGTCCCATCACCCATCCATCAGCCTGCAGCGAGAGAGGGGTCAAATTGGAATAATGATGAGAGATACCCTCAAGGAGGTCAGCAGAGTTGCACAGCGCGCGTTCGGACTTGAAGTCAGATGAGAAGGAAATGAGGTGATGGTTCCAAGTAATGGGCGACATGATGGGATGCTGCTGTGCGCGAGGGGTTGTGCGGCTTGTATGCGGAGGGAACGAGGATGAATTTGTCTCGGTGTTGTCGTGACATGTCTGTCCAAATGCTGCATCCCACAGCCGGATAGTGTTATCCCAAGAACTAGACGCGATGCGAGTACCATCCGGTGAGAATGAGACAGATAGAACCATTCCAGCGTGCCCCTGCAAAGGCTCACCCGATGATTGTCCCGTCGCCGCATCCCACAGCCGCACAGTGTTGTCCTGAGAACCAGATGCAATGCGAGTACCATCCTGTGAGAACGAGACAGATAGAACCATTCCAGCATGCCCCTGCAAGGGCTGACCCAACGACTGTCCCATCGCCGCATCCCACAGCCGCACAGTGTTATCAGCCGAACCAGACGCGATGCGAGTACCATCAGGTGAGAACGAGACTGAGAAAACGGGTAGAGTGTGCCCCTGCAAGGGCTCACCCAATGGCTGTCCCGTCATTGCATCCCACAGCCGCACAGTGTTATCCGAAGAACCAGACGCGATGCGAGTACCATCCGGTGAGAACAAGACTGAGTTAATGGGTAGAGTGTGCCCCTGCAAGGGCTCACCCAATGGCTGTCCAGTCGCTGCATCCCACAGCCGTACAGTCTTATCCTGCGAACCAGACGCGATGCGAGTACCATCCGGTGAGAACGAGACTGAGTTAACAGGTAGAGTGTGCCCTTGCAAGGGTTCACCCGATGGCTGACCCGTCGCTGCATCCCACAACCGTACAGTCTTATCATTCGAACCAGATGCGATGCGAGTACCATCCGGTGAGAACGAGACTGAGCAAACGGGTAGAGTGTGCCCTTGCAAGGGCTCACCCAATGGCTGTCCCCTCACCGCATCCCACAGCCGCACAGTCTTATCCGCAGAACCAGACGCGATGCGAGTACCATCCGGCGAGAACGAGATTGACCAAACTGGTAGAGTGTGCCCCTGCAAGGGATCACCCAATGGCTGTCCCGTCGCTGCATCCCACAGTCGCACAGTCTTATCCTGCGAACCAGACACGATGCGAGTACCATCCGGTGAGAACGAGACTGAGCAAACGGGTAGAGTGTGCCCTTGCAAGGGATCACCCAATGGCTGACCCGTCGCTGCATCCCACAGCCGCGCAGTGTTATCAAAAGAACCAGATGCGATGCGAGTACCATCCGGTGAGAACGAGACTGAGTATACGGGTAGAGTGTGCCCCTGCAAGGGATCACCCAATGACTGTTCCGTCGCTGCATTCCACAGCCGCACAGTCTTATCCTGCGAACCAGACGCGATGCGAGTACCATCCGGTGAGAACGAGACTGAGAAAACGGGTAGAGTGTGCCCCTGCAAGGGCTCACCCAATGGCTGTCCCGTCGCTGCATCCCACAGCCGCACAGTCTTATCCTCCGAGCCAGACGCGATGCGAGTACCATCCGGTGAGAACGAGACTGAGAAAACGGGTAGAGTGTGCCCCTGCAAGGGCTCACCCAATGGCTGTCCCGTCGCTGAATCCCATAGCCGCACAGTCTTATCCTGCGAACCAGACGCGATGCGGGTACCATCCGGTGAGAACGAGACTGAGCAAACGGGTAGAGTGTGCCCGTGCAAGGGATCACCCAATGGCTGACCCGTCGTTGCATCCCACAGCCGCACAGTGTTATCAAAGGAACCAGACGCGATGCGAGTACCATCCGGTGAGAACGAGACTGAGCAAACGGGTCGAGTGTGCCCCTGCAAGGGATCACCCAATGGCTGTCCTGTCGCTGAATCCCATAGCCGCACAGTGTTATCAAAAGAACCAGACGCGATGCGAGTACCATCCGGTGAGAACACGACTGAACTGACAGGAGCATGCGCGTTGATCACGATCTGAGCAGCCATCCAGTTCAAATGACGTCCTGATGCCACGCGAAGGTTGTTGGGAAAGATCGCGGTGAAATTGGTAGCGATGGTGGAGTTGATGGGTGAGAATGGCAGCGCGGATAAATACAGGTGCGGTGTGCTGTGCAAAATCACGGTCCCAAAGACTTGAATGAATCTTTGAACATCCATTGTGGTGGACTGCACATCTTCGTATCCAGAATGGCCCTGCAGGTGATTGTAAGACGTTTATCCGACGCTGCCTGGTAGGCATGTGCTCACCTTCAGCCACTTGGCAACGAGTGGAAGCACGGTTATTGCGCCCCTGAATGCATTGAGAAGGCCGAGTGCCTCAACCCAGAAGAGCAGTCGCTCGTCATTGAAGAATGATTTTATTGCGTTGGCGAGCTCCGAGTCGAAGTTCGATGCTGATACATGCATAGTCCATAATCGACAGGAATAGGAGAGGTGTGTGGGAATGCATGTCTTGACTCGTTGAGGTAGCCCTGTGTCTTGGGAATTAGGGAGGTACGACGACCTTAAATCACAGATATTGAAGCGAAGGCCATGTTCCATCACTCGCAGTGACGCAAATGCAAGGTCGCGTTGTTGCATCTTCGTGACTTCGACGAAGAAGTCTCCGCTGGATGATTCATCCGTTAAGAATTCTTGAAATGTCGCATGAAGGGGTCGGATGGGGGAATATGAGTCTGTGGTGCCGCTGAGGAGGGCTCCCATACGTTTGATCACTAGATCTACTTTGTAGTGGTCGTGGTCCTCTGAAAAATGGGTCCGCATAGCATTTAATGAAACTAACGGGAGGGGTTCGGCTGTGCCAAATATTTGTCCCATCACGGAACGAAATCTTGCTATTGCTTGCTTGTAGGTCGTTGAATTCCTATCCTTTGGCATGATTTCTGTTAACATGAGTCGGTACACATCATACAACAAGTTTTCCCGCTCCCCAGGATTGTGGTTCACGACAACATTGAAGCAGTCCATTGAGGATGAGCCGAGTTCGGGTTCCTTGATGTATCCGCACGCAAGACGCGCCCACTCGAAGAGTCCATCGGCTTTTGCAGCGAGCGTCGCAAGATGACTGTCCTGAAATTCTGATAGCTCTTTAAGCTCCTCAGATACGAAGGCGTGAATGTCACGCTCCACGACTTCTGATGGAATATCGTCCATGGACAACCGTAGAATATGATCAGCACCTTCAAACTCCTTTTCGATATCATGAAGTGGGCGAGAGGTGACGAGAATCCGGAAGTTGGAAGGGAGTTCGGTGATTTGGGGGAGTCCTTTGTCCTGAAGTCTTCCGGCGAGTATACGGAGGAGGTTACGTCGCGTCTCTACTCCACCACTCTCATCCAGCGCTTCGATCACGATCAAGACGGGCCCTACGCTTGATGCAGAGAACTTCTTTAGCGGTTTCATCAGAAGCTCGCGCCACTGCTGGATAATGTCTGTCGTGTTCTTGAGCGAGTTTGCATCCTTGACTGCATCCGCTAATGCTCGTTTCATCCCAGGATCACGGTCAGCAAGGTCGCGCGCGACGGTGGAGAAAATCTTTTCATGGCGACGGTCTGCTTCTCTTTGTCGATCGAAACAAAAACATGAGCCGAGGCCTCCCGTTTCCATGAACCAGTTGGCGATCGTGTGGGCGATGGCTGATTTACCCTTGCCAGCAGGGCCGGATAGCCACATTACACGCGGAACAGAATCTCCGCTGTCGTTGATCCACTCGGTGATTTGAGAGAGAATGTCCGTGCGAGTGCCTGACAGACATTGCTTCGCAACATCTAATCCGGCGCCCCCTGCATAAAGCATGCCGCTAAGATCGAGTGTTTCACCTTTGAGGGTTTGAGTACGTTTAGAATGAGAAGCACGTGGGAATCCTCACCCGCAGAGTGGACAAAGATAGCTACGTCCCGATGAGCTTGATCCCGAAATTGCTGCATAAGCCCATCCAGGGCGTTGTTGTACAGTGTGATCATATCATCCGTTTCTGCAACGATATTTTTACCGACTCTCTTCCCTATTATCATAGTAAGTATGAGAGTCATGTGCGAATGCGATAGTCGCGACTCACAGAAGCTCTTCGTCTCCGAGTATTCCCTGATGAAACGGGCACACTCGAGAGTCTGCTGAGCAATCTTTCCGATGACATCATGCATCGATTTAACCTTGGAAAGATTATCGTCTTGGGCAATGAAGCCATAGACTTCATCTAATTTCTGGAGAAGGCGATGTACTGATTCGTCGCGCTCCGCTTGAGCAAGAATAATCTGCATGTAGCAATATCTTCTGAGAGGAGGCAGATCTCCGGGCAACATAGAACGCACTTTAGCTGCAGCAGAAAGTACGCCCAACGCCATCTTTGCATATGGATGCGCCTATAACTCGATTAGTTCGCTACCAAAGACAGAGAGTGGCCCCTACATCTGCGATCTTCTCGATGACAGAGTCGAAAATTTTCAGGGGTTGGAGGTATGTGGTGTTGAAATCATCTGCGGCAGTGAGACTTGCTGGGGCATTTTTGGCAGCGCATGTCACAGATAGCGCGTGTCCCCCAAGTGTTTTCACGCGTTCTGAGGCCTCGTGAGCACCCTGAAGTTCAGCATGGACCGATCTGGAACTAGGGGTTTCCTCCACGCCAGAGAGGGTGTCGAGAACCTGTGCGACCAACAGAATTTAGAGACGACAACCATATAATTTGATGCAGGTACCTTCGAAGCAGGTTCTCCAGATGTGCCTTGGTTAACGCAGTCGCTGGTGGTTTCAGCTGTGAGAAGCTTGTCGTCGGTCAAAGGGTGCGGATGTGACATGTCCTGAGCCCCTCTGATAAAAAAAGTTGAACTGGGACTACGATTTCGAGGACCTACCTCGATGTTCTGATTCGATGAAACGTCTTGAAGGTCGACATTCTGGATCTCAGGAATGTGGTTGCGAGACCGCTTGAAGAGTTTCTGAACAATGTCAGTCATATTCAAAACAAGGACACAAATAATTCAGTAGTCTACTCACAGAGATTTTCTTGGTGATGCGCTTCGCACATTTCCGCATGGCCTGCCGGACTCGACTAAGGGGTAAGTAAGCTCTGGAGGAAGAAAGTATCAGAGGCAGCAATGGAATTCATGAGCACTCATCCACAATTAGTGAGCCCATGAGACGACATACCGAGCGGTTGCTTTGCAGGTTTTCGGAGGATCTGACCTATGATAATGGTCTTCACTGAGCACGAGTGGTGAATTAGTATGAGCGAAGTGGAGATGCAAAGAAGTATGGGAGAAGGGGGAGGATTCTGTTACGAGCTAAATACTCTTGAGCACAAGCTTTGAAGCATGGCCAGTGCGTTTACTTGATTCTTGAACCGCTAACCATAATCAGTCATGATGGAGTGCCGAAGGGAGTACAAAGGCGCAGGGAAAGAGATCTGGACAAACCTTTGACAACCCTGTCACAGAAATGACGGAGATTGATCGAAATGCGTAGGGTATGATTTGAATGATAGTGCATGCTAGTAGCACGGGGCCACGACTCAGAGGTAAGTACGGTATAGACAATGAAGTCATTAATGCAAGCTAGCCTTCTAGCTTGTTCGGTCCAGGTTCAGAATAATGTTCAGAGCGGGTACTACTTACATTATTTGAGTCTTGTCATAGATCCAGTGACCGGTTCAAACTTCACTACTAACGACACAGTCATGGTTAACGTTCATCTGCGGGTTAATGTTGCTTATTAGTAAGCATTTGTCAACGCTGCGACTTCAACTTGACTTCAATGCCGTCAACGTTCAGATCTGATTCTCAGCTTCGAGATACTAGTCTGCATGTACCCTGTACCCATAAAAGCGTTTGCGCAGCATGCACACACCATAACCACTTCAAGTCAAGGATGTCAAGCCTTCATCATAGCATGCTCGGTTCCGGCGCGTCTTGGCCTACCCCATTAATAGTCGGACGCATGCCAGTGGTAGATAATAAAGCCCTGTCTCAGTTTGTCTGTCCATCGAATGTCCCCTTTACCACTCACACCTGGCAGATGTCTCTGTATTTAGCTTCGTCAGGCCACCGAAATGCGTCTGCCTACCCTCCGGACTTCCGCGCTCCACATTTCTGCGTTCATGTGAATCGACTAGCTATAGCCTCGCAGCTAACACCTGTCGATATCGGTCATTCCTCTTTCAAGTGCCTGCCTAGACCTCCTGAGTAGTGAGTGTGACTTGTTGTCGTTGCTTCAGAGCTCGGCTCCTGTTTTTTCACGATCGCCATCTCGTGAAATACCGTGACGAGGATGCTTCACCTTGACACGCTACGTATAAAGCTTATCTGTCAACATGACCGTTTGCGCGCGCGTCATTAATGTTAGTTTTTGCCCTGCTATTTTCGAAGCACTCAATAACCGTCACTACGCAGTCATATAACAGACCAGTAGATACTCGATCACGCAGGACTCGATGTGCAGTGCTAGCAGAACGAGTCATGAGCGAATTATGCGAGGATAGGCTTCAGGGTATCTCCCTATGGCGTACACATAGGCATATTGATGTCACATTCAGAGGCCTGTCGTAAGGTCAATACTGTCTCATGTTATCCTGCATGTTCGTGTACACACGCAATGAACATTGTGATCTGTATCAAGGGCCGAAATCCTGTGCTCAGTATCTTGCATGTCGTACGGGAAGGGGGAATTCAATATCCACCAGACAAGGTAGAGCACTTCAAGGCGATTAATTAATCAAGGATTTGAAAATATAAAATAAAAAGATGGCTCGAACAGTGACGTCATCATCGATTACAAAAGGTAGGGTTTGGCCCGTTTGGGGCAAAATGGAGTCACATGAGGCGAAAATTTCGAGTCGAAAAGTCGGAGGGGCGAAAAAGCTGAGACGGTCTACACAAGTCGACTGATATGCTTGACCATCAAGCGTCTGTAGCCAATCTCGCCCACCCTGGGTCTGCAGCCATTCGCCGCCTTGGGAATAAAGCCACCCGCCCGGTCTCTGGTGCTTGAGATATTCTCGACCGCTGGGAGTATCCAGGGTGGAGTCTAGGCGGTCTTGGGTCTGTAGCACATCTCTGCCGCCTTGGGTCTGCCGCCAGAGTCTCCCGTCCTGTGACTGCAGCCAGTCTTCTCCACTCTGGGTCTGCAGCCAGTCTCTCCCGCACTGGGTCCGCAGCCACTCTTGTCCACTCTGAATCTGTAACCAGTTTCCCCCCTGGATCTGTATCCAAAGTTGCCCAGCCGGGGTCTGCAACCACTCTCCACTGCGAAGCCAGTCTCGCCAGCTCCCAGGCTGCATCCAATCTCCCTGCGTATCCGACCACTCTCTACTTTGTGGCTCCGGTATATCTCCCATGCGCGGCATATAACCCTCGCCCTGGGTATGCGGCCACACCTGCCTGCCCTGGTTATCCAGCGACCCTCGACTCGGTGGCTGCGGTATAAATGGCGTATCTCGCTCATCCTGGGTGTACATTGACAGCCAGTCTTGCCCGCCTTGGGTCTGCAGCCAATCGAGCCCACCTTGGGTCTGCAGCCAATCTCGTCCGTCTTGGGTGCACAGCCAGTCTTGCCTGCCTTGGGTCTGCAGCCAATCGAGCCCGTCTTGGGTGCACAGCCAGTCTTGCCCGCCTTGGGTTCGCAGCCACTCTCTCCTGATCTGACTCTGCAACATATCTCGCCCCATCCGGGTCTTTAGCCAGTCGTTCCCATCCCAGGTCCGCAGCCACTCTCGCCCCCTCGGGGTTTGCAGCCACTCTCGCCCCTCCAGGGTGTGCACCCACCCTCGCCCCTCCCAGTTCCCCAGCCATATGGATAGTTCGTCCTTGACTTGCTGCATCTGATATTGAGTCAAATCAATCTACAACGGTGGACTGGTGCGGCTGGCAATGTGCCTACCTCTGACAGACAGAAGCTGGTATGGTTTCAACCTGTTACCTACGACAACGCCCGAAGGCTCCACCCCTACTGACTAAGCTACGCAAATGGTGGTAAATACCCGCCTGTGCCACCCCCCGCTGGAGGGGTACCCCACTCCAATGGTAATGAAATAGAAATCAAATGGTTTTTTTATAGACCGGGCAATGGCTTGTTACTGTCCTGCAGGAGGTGCCCTCAGTGCCCCGAACACAGACGCAATGAGAAGAGCCCCCAAAACTCATCCGAATCTTTCAGTAGGAGGCCGAACCTGCGGGCTGCTTGGAGTGTCTCTAACGATTGTCCATGCGTACGCATTGTGGTCGTGGCAGCCGGTGGTTACTCTGCCGAAAACGACACGCAGGACACTATCTGCATGTTTGAGGGGTGAACTGATTGGCTGGCCGTCATCGAGGTTCCACAGTCGCGCTGTCTTGTCGCGCGATGCACTTGCCAAGATGCGATCATGAATTGCAATGGCACTAACACCGGCAGTGTACTCATCCAGACCGATGATTTGCCTCCACGTGGAAGTATCCCATATCCTAATTCAGTGATCAGCTGACCCAGATATAAGCTCCGCGCCCCAAGTTGGAACATTTGTTGACCTCTCTGAAGATACGACGTCCACGATCCTACTACGATACCCAATACCAGCATCTGGTACAACATCCCGCATTCTTGAATAACCCGAAAGGTGACATCGAATGTCGAGTCCGATCCTCCAACCAGTAGCAAGTAGCACTGTGACGAATAAGAAGTACCCGCTGTCTTCTTGTACCCAGTATGATAGTGCTGAATTTTGTTTGCTCGCCATAAAAGTTTGACTCCTCAGTCTGCCAATTGGCACGTTTGTGCATCAGAGACGTATACAAGTGAATATGGAAGCTTGTGACCTCCGAATTGATCTCTTCTGATACGGACCGCGCAGCCTCGATGTTGTCAAATGCAGACGACTGTTGGCAGGTACCAGTGATTGTGTCACATTATAGGGAGTAAGTAATTATGTCGGCACTAACGGTGGTGACATAGGAACACGGAAGCGCCTCTCAACATCAGCATGATTTTTAAAGGGCACAACCACATCTCTGAGGAATTAGTTTTCGATACGTGCTCTCCAGACTCCGGATTAGCAGTTTCATGTGAGTTTCACCCCAGTCTACTTTTCTGCCTCGTCAATGTCGCCTCAGTAAGATAGCAAAGTCTTCTTTCAAGCTGTCGCGAAGAGAAATTCGACGTTTGAGTGGATGCTTGAAAGGTCATGAGACACGAGGGTGATTTGCCTGGTCCATGCAATATCAAGAAGGACCGACTGTTTTTTTTCTAATGGTCTGACTACGGATACTGATGATTTAGTAACACATGCGAGAAGCAGCAGGCCAACATTAGCATATTCCGAGCCTCACTAACAAGAGCATTGCTCGTTTTGTTCCCAGCTTTCTATCGTAGCTCGTTGATCGCTACAATTATCGGCCGGCTTTAGTTAGGTTAGTTACGACCTGCATAGCACTAGCCACATGAGAACAGGTTTGCATATTTACATAGAGCATATCATACTACATAGAACATAGTCAAGCAAGAGATGAGCACTATCAGAACGCTGATGCAATGCATGAATTGACCATGTCCACTCCAGATGTGAAGAAACTCACCTTTGTAACACAACCAATTCCAGAAAACATTCCAGCATCCATGCGCTTCGACGCTCTCGGTATCACGCTCGGTATACATAATACCTGAATCAACGCTCTCCCGGTCCCCTCTATCGACGTGGTCTTGTGTATGTCCTGGTAGACCAGCTTGCCTAGACGACTGTGCCGATTCATTCTGAGATGTAACTTCGCGGGGCAAAGGTGACGCTGCGGTTGCTTGGTAATTATGCCTGACGTCACCAGACGCCCGAGCAGAGCCTGCCGCAGTCGACGCAGACTGCGAACGGGGAATCGCCTTGGCACTACTAGAAGACTGAGTTGTCGTCTTACGTGGACGTGAAACTACAATCCTCTGGAAATTTCCTGAGATGCGTTATTGAGAACAAATACGATGAACGTACTCTTTTAGCTTGTGCAGTCGCTACCTCGACAACATCTGGAGTCGACGTTTCCCTGTGGGATTGAGGGTGACGAATGCGCGTCCAAACGCTGCCAAGAGGTGGGATACGCCGTTCCCGGCTGGCAGATCTTGGAGACATCTGGTGAGCTTCCCCTACATTGGACTTCGAAGATCGAGGATGACGAATCCGTTTCCATATCTTTGGAAATGGTAGGATACGCCGCTCCCGACCGGTGGTCCTCAGGGAGGCCTGCTGGTGAGCAGAGCTGGATGAGGGTCCAATTCCAAATCGAATCTAACAAATTAATTTCAGCATGTACTTGAATTCGTGTCTGGGACATCTTACATGACGACCCTTTGTATTGCCAGAAGGATGTGGCGGTTGATCGAAGAACGCCGGGTTGTGTCCCAACGAACGTTGTTTTCCTTTGGCCTTTGCGCTGATTGTTGCAGGGAACTGTTGCATACCGTGAGTTTAGTGTTCTACCATAAACCTAAATCTCACATCAAGGGGGCTGCCACCAACAATCTAGTTCACTTCGTTAGTAGTCAGGATTGAATGCGTGGTGCATTAAGTTTGCTTGCCTCTTCCACTGAATGTATGATTAGATCAGAAGAGCCGTCTTTCGAATCCGAGGGCACGCTCGAAGCTGCAAAAAATTTGCCGTCCGGCGAGAATGCAAATGGATGGGTACATTTCATATCGGAGGTAGTGAATTCGTGACCCTCTATGTCATAGAAATGTGTGGGGTGATCGACGTCGCCATCAATTTCCAGCGCCAAAAGCTTGCCATTTGGAGAAGCTGCCATGGCAAAGGGGATATCATCTCCATCAAGGCCTTCGAAGCGCGCATCGTCATGCTTCCCTGTATTCACATCCCATGTCCAGAAAGACTTGTCGCCAAATGCAAGTACTACTCGAGGACGATTATTCGGTATAATAGCGGCTTGAAGTAATGGTATATCTGGAAGTGCGATCTCCGCTATTCGGGCACACTTTGGTATCTCCCACGCAACACCTCCCTTTGTATCACTAGTGACAAGGAGAGTACTATCGACAGATAGAGCCGCCACGAAAATAGTTTGAGCAGCATTTGACACAGTTACTCGTTGAGTGATTGCCCCGCTCCCTGTGTCCCATACAAGCAACTCTCCATCCCTTGACAAGCTTACTGCGTGAGATGAGTCAGGAAGAAACCCCACAGCAAGGATCAAGTCATCGTGCCCTCCAAATGGTGGTCCTACAAGGTGTGTTGAAGTAGCATACCAGCAACGTATTGTATGATCTGGTGATGCGCTCATAATTTTTTGTCCGTCAGGAGACCATGCCACAGCAGTTATATGCGTATGGGCATCTGCAAGCATTTCTAGCTGGTACTTGCTCTTCGACGATATGTCGGTAATGGTCACCCCCGAACAAGCAGTACCGCTCGCGATTTTCTGGCCATCGGGCGAAAATGCCAGACATGTCGGAGCGTCCGTGGTGCTCATTCAACGGGACTGATGTGAATGTAAAAGGACCTCGACAATGAATGACGTGTATAAGTTGAAGGATATATACAAAAATGCGGAGTATACATACTTAGGAAGCGTGAGTTTGTGATCTACCGAGTTGTTCCAGGCGAGGTTGAAAATTACTAGGTGGTGATTTTGTATAGACTAGCTTGTGAGGCTCGCGAGAGATGAGGAAGTTGAAAGAAGGATTCTAACTGGAGATGTCATGATCCACTAGCAAATATACCGTTGGCCTAGGCTATGTTAACGTTGTCAGCACGGCGTCTGCGACTAGTCATAGTATTGACCATGCGTCGAACGAGTCACAGTAGTACAAGACCATTACGTGGAGTGACGGATCATAATAAGTCGGAATTTTTCATGTGCCGGTAATTATTGCACCGATATTATGAAAATGATTACTCATAGTTCATAGTTTTGACACGGACCAAAAGTACTAGCACTCACCAAGCGCTCTTGGCGTCTTGAGTCCCGTAAATCGAGTAGACAAGCGGTGCCGGCTCCAAGTCTCTAACTGTCCCGCAAGCCATTCATGTGCCTCGACAGTCAGCTCCAAGAACTCCAGCTTATCCAACACTCCCTCCTTCCAGGTGAATCATTCTCCTTCGCCCTCCCTCCTGAAGATTCTAGAATATGGTCCTCGCTACTCCACTCCTTCAACACTAGTACTGCTACAACTCTCTCATCTCTGCCCAACCCAGTTCCACAAGTCAAGTTCCAAGTGAAGACTACGGACGCACGGATCTTCTTCGAGGTACAATTTCCAGAGCGATATCCGGAGGATTCGGATGTCGACACCGCACAGGTTCCCTTCATCTCGGTCAACGGGGAGGGCATATCCAGAGATGAGCATTACCGCTGGCGGGCCTTTGTTCAGGAGAAATCAGCCGAGGTGCAAGGAGATGAGTGAGTACATCACGGCGTCTTAAAGTGAGGAGTCCTAAATTATATGGAGTTTTCCGATCTACCAATTGCTATGCATGCACTTGCTGCCGAAACTACATGAAGACGGATATAGTGTTGATACAGCAGGAACTATGGATATCATAGAACAACAGTGCACCAACCGTCTCCCAGAGACAGCAGACTACCACGCACTCCTGACGTCTCATCACCTCGTGTCCCCAACAAAACGGCGGTCATTACAGCGATGGTCCTCTGAACTTTCGATATCTGGCTTCGCCAAAGTTGGCTACCCGGGCGTCATTTATGCACAGGGCACACAGGAAAATATACAAGAATTCGTTGCCAACGTCAAATCTATGCAGTGGCTGGCGCTAAGGGTGCGGTTTGTGGAACCCATAGATCTGGCCAACGATGAGCATCATCAGGGTTGGACTGAGTTCCAGAAGGTCGGAGAAGTTGTGGAAGAGATGAAAAGACGCGGCAGGGACAAATATATCACAGAGATGGGCATCGGAAGTTCGGCTTTACAATGAATCACCATGCTCTGCACGGGTGGAAGGCATCTCCGTCACGGTAATTCAGCAGGCGCTATTACTAAGGGTATACATAAGGCATGAAGGCGAAGTAACATGCTCCGGTGGTCAGGTACATTTGGTAAGTTATAACTTATTCCATCATATGCTTGACCGTCGTTGACGTATCCTCACGCATGAGAATACCAGCTGTCACAATGGTACAGCATACGGCGGAGGCTCATGTAGTCGAGAGCTGAGCAGATCTGCAAAAGATACTCCGCCATCTCCTTGTTGGTGTTCATGTGCCCATCAGTTTGGTCATTAAGATGACGCCATTGAATTACCTCTGTTCGAGGTATCCTCGTCCCCTGACTATGTCGGGGGGTGTAATTTTTCCTAGAATGCGATGTAACCCAGCCATATGACTATACGGTGCTGGTTACTTGCACGCTCACGGCTGTGATATTTCAATTACTCTGGTACAACGATATCGCTGCACGATACTCCAGGACACTCATTATCGCAACTCCTACGCTCGACTATGACGTTCATCGCAAATTGTGTCTTACTGCATGAGATGTTATACCAGATCAGTTTTATGCAACTTCATTCTTATTCACAAATCATCAATGCACCTTGGGAGCGAATACCTCTGACTCCGAGGCAACAAACTGGAAAATACAAATCGAACTCGAAATTGGGTGTCATGGAGGCACAGTCTTAAAAGTCTGGAACATCAAAGTCCTTGGCAACAGGTTGCGTGTAGGATGCTACACGCGAAGTTGTTAGATTGTCTTACACGCCAATATGCATGAACACTATGCGTTGGTCCAAGGGTATGGGGTTGACCTTGTCTTCAGCCAACGAACGGACCGCTTGGTGCAACGCTCGGGCAGCTCGTTTGGAATTCATTGTGCCATCTCCGCAAATGTTTTTGTAGAATGCCTCGACTAAGCGCTGCACAGTATCATCATTGACCTTCCATAACGTCCCAACAACGCTCTTAACTCCGGCGAATTGCAAGCCAGCCGCTACATGTATTCTCACTCTATTACGTAGCGAGGCACGAGCGAAGAGTTAGAGTTTTGTCTTTGGGCGAGCGGAAAACGCCGGCGTCTCTTGTTTCCGCTCCTCCTCTAGTAGAATCCTCGACGAAGCCCTCGTCGAGCTATTTCTTTTCCTACACACACCTTAATATTCCCTTACTTTCACAATACCTCTAATTTTTCCAATCTTTGAAATTCCATCCTTTCCACTCACCTTATAATGGCACGCATCGCCTCCAACCCCACCCTTGACGTCGAACCGGACTTCGCATCCCCGACTTTCGAAGGACTGAGAAACCGCATCATCGGAAACTCGCAGACAACCCACGTGGAAGCAGCCAATGAACTGACCATAGGTTGGCAGCAAGACCGCGACATTCGTGTCGCCGCTTGGAACCAACAACATCAGGAAACCGGCGGGAAAAAGGTTTTTGTAGATACAAATAGCAACATCAGATCACATGTCTACTGGATTATATCCAAAGGCAAAGCAATATATAATCATGACACGATGGCATCAAAGGACAAGAAGTTGCAAGAACAAGCCAAACTTGATGAAGGATTATATGTCCCAACAACTATGATATACAATAGATAAAATATTGAAAAGGTTCTGCATCTCTCCAAACCTGTGGTCATCCATCGCCTGAGCTGAACTTCATGATTGCTACTTGCAATGCCAGTCAGCTGGCAATCAAGAGTTACAAACTACATGCAATACTGGCCTGAATTCATAAGTGTGGTGTGTCCTAGGTAATCTTTTGTAAATCACTAACAGTTCTCAATATCTGTGGTACACCTGCTGCCCAAACCAGACTATGGTCATCAACAACCAGACAACAATCATATATTGCAAAATTGATGGAGCACTGACACCAGTCAGCCATTCCTCGTGATTTTGATATGTGTAAGACAATGCCTTGGCAAACACAAGCAATCCTGGACTACAGCAGTCAGCATCTGACTCGGACTCCGCTGTGATAAGGTCCATTGGGGATGTTTTCATTGATTTAATTAGCAAAGCGCCGTGCAGGAGAAGATACTCAATATTGTACATCTAAACACGAAATCATGGCAGCCAGTACGTTAAGGTAAGGAAACTAGTACATGGTATCACAAAGGTTATGTACACATGAGCATAAAGATACGTGTCTGATAGCTTGTAAGATGTCCATGTGAAAACGACTGATGCGAATTCATTCAACCACGCGTAGCCAGGCGCCTCGTCTCCTCTAAGGGCGGCTGCCAAGTGATGACGAAGCTGCAATGGTATCAGCATTTTGAAGAGGACGTAAGTAATTCGTGCCCACCGTCGCTGTCAGAGTAGTCAGATGCAGGCGCATTTCCAATCGCCAGTTCATAAACTTCTACCTCAGCTTTGGCACGACACATCTTCACATGCAAGTGATATAACTCTAACTCGGGGTTGCGCTGATGAGAATGGTAACCTTCCATATCAAGGTAGGTTGCCACGAGTCCTGTCTGAGAGCGAAGTTCCAAATGGCATGCCTTATCAAAGGCCTCTTGAACGCCAGGTGGGACCCATGTGCTCGACAGGTGGAACGAGGAGTCGATGGACTTCAGTGATAATGTCAGACTAGCCAAGTAGAAAAATTGACAGTACTGATGTGCACGATGACTGGCATTCGTTGCTCTAGATGTGTGATACAATTTGAGTAGCCATATTTGTCCGAAAAAAGTTGTCTAACTGGCGTGAAGTCGGGGTCTTGCTCTCTTAACCAAGTTTCGCACTTGTGTTGTACAGCTGCCGAATAGGCTCCTATGGATGTTGAACAGGCCTCTGTAGATACTGAACGGGCTACAGTAGGTTCAGCGATACATATTGAGGTTGTTAAGCCAGGGCTGTCGTTATGTACGAGTGAGCGAGTTGTAATAGCACGCATTGCTAAGTAGTGAGGTGTCAGACCATTGGTTTGCGTAGTTGGGAGAATCTCATGCATTATCCATTGTTGCTGTACGTGATCGATAGCCTGGCTGCACAAAGACATCTCCAGCTGACATCGATCCCTCTTCTGTTCCATGAAAGCTCGCTCTACGGCTACGCGCCCTTTGTTATCCTTAACCGTTCGCAACGATTCTTCTGTCTGTGCTTCCAATATACGCCCTCCGATTATCTGCCAGATATCGCCGTGATAGACTCGGCCTTTGAGCAAGAAGTACAGAATATACAATTCAGTCCGAAGCTACGTAAAAACATTTAGGTGAACTGATACTTTAGAAATTGTAGACTTGCCGTCTTCGTTGGTATGAGTCTGATGTAGAAATCCAACCATTTGGGACCTGCCAATATGTCCGAAAGCTCGCACATGCCATTACGAATGGCTGAGGAGTTGAATGGTGGAAGATAGGATGGAGCTGGTATCATGACTGTTGTGGTAAGGAAATATGTACACGCGCGACACATGCTATCATGGAGCTCGTTTGTTAACCAATATTTTGAATCGGAATCTGATTTGGGCGGCGATTGAATGGTATGACAGCTGGCCATCAAATCAACGTTACTGGCTATCAAACAATTCGAATTCTGGCTGGCCATCAGTGCTAGTGATGGATCAACTTTTAGGAGAGTCATGAGCACTGAAATAGCTAGAGACTCGAGATGAAACAAACCTTCCACTATGAATGCGCCTGTGTGAGACTCTTAGACGTCAATCTGTATCTGGGTACTGCCCTGGCGGGGCAGTGAGGTTAGACTTCCGCATAGAAAATTCAGACGTAAAGAGGGCATACGTGGTGACGAGCTCGGCATGCCATTACATTTTACAAAAATCTTTGCATAGGGTGCGGTGGCAGGCAGCCAGGCGATGATGGCGGGATGAGAGCCATGTTCATTTACCTGAAAAAGAATATTATACTGGTCAGATGCTGGCGACTTCAAACTTCTCAAAAGTCAACAGTGCTTAGCGTACACCCAGATTATCTCACTGCAGTCCAATCTTTGAGTCACTTTCCCAACAATGTCACGATGATGGACACAACAAATCGAATACGGACCTAGGTTTCATATCCACATCATTGATATAACATTTGAATGTCGTTGGGGACTGTCACATCGGCGTGGAGACTGGTGATAAAGGACAAGAAGTTGATACATATGGCCCGGACACCCGAACTCAATGTGATGATCAGCCTTAGAATTATGTAAGTAAGCGTGCTCGGTTCACCTTACCAGTTACTAAACACCCTCACCAACTTGAAGTTTTCCATTGGTTTTGTGTCGACGTATTCATTAAGCACATTCTCATAGTATTGATGCGAGTGGGGTTGATGTCGGGAGCGCAAATTTGCACCATTATGTAAGTGTAAAGTTTGATCGATAAGGATCAGTAAGACTCTAGTATGACAGCCTATCGCAGACGTAGCTTCAGCAATGGCGGATTATTCCTAGGTCGTTGCTTTTGGACCCCTCTTGAACAGGTCTGGATATGGTGCTTCATAATCGACCTCGCTCCTACTCGCGAGCAAAGCTTGCAGCGTCTAAATAAAACCTGGAACTCTTTCGCTGTAATTCCATCACCAATGGACGACTCAAGCTTTTTGAACAATTCCGTTTGTTCCTGGTATGTCCACTCGAATTGAATAGAGCATGGTTTTTCATGTTCTCCTGCTGATTTATCAATAAAATTATTGCACCACAGGAATGTAGTTGATACCTCGACGACGGTACTGGAAGGTGGCTAAAGACGATAGCCGGTAGTATGCGTCTATTCTCACTGGTAGGTCATGGTTAATTTGGGATATCCTCGAGAATGAAGGAAGCTGACCTTGATATCCACACTCATCAGATGCGCATCTTACCCTCCAATAAGTCTCTCGAGTAGTCTTATCTTTCCAAGGATACACTGCCGCCTCGGTGTAGGCCTCTTTTCCACACCCGTCGGCACATAAGCAGCACGGGTATCGAAAATTGTGTTCTTCGCGGTACTTCTCAAAGTGTGATGGAATAATCTTCTTTCCCTCGTCATCGTCAGGCCTCCATATTCGAGTCAACACTCAGAAGTTATACAAGGTTCAAATAATCTTACCAGTACCATTCTATCATTGATTTTGACGCACTATCGTAATGCAGGAGGGCAAAGCGGCAAGTCATGGCTTCTACCATGAGTTTGGCGAGCCTCACGGCGGTTTCATGACAGTCAGGTGGGGCAGTGATTATGGAAGAAGGTGAGGATGGGGTTTCCATTGTGCAGATGGATACAACAAGGCCTCATCGCTCTTTATAGATCCTGTAATTAACCATGTCATGGCTGGTCCGACTTTTTTTTCTCCCGTCAAGTGTGCCAGCCCCTCCTGCACTGCCAGGATCTTGGCCTGTGGGAATATGCAACTCGGGTAACAGCGCTGGCCATCTTAACGTTCAGGTTTGTCACGTTATATTATACTGTTGAAATTTTTTGCTGTTGTGCTCAATTGTTTATCCGTTCGCTCTTCATGGATATAGCTTCGTCGCAAAGGCTTTTCAAATGCACTTGCACACGTGAGTTTACTCAGGAGAGTGCATTCACAAAGCATCAACGTTCCTGTCTGAAAGGCAAGAAACGATTGATCAGTGCTTTGTCTAAAGCAAAAGATCTCCTAGGCTCTGTAAAACGGGCCCGACTGGATACCAATGGGAACAGACAGCATGTGTGTATCAGCATGCCCTCTTTGATTACACATCCCTGCTGTCCACAAGCCCCGTCGTCGTCTTCCAACCATGTCAACGAGACATACAGTGTGGGGTCTTCAAGTCTTCACCCGTCTTTGCCTTTGGCCGCAGTGCACCCCCCAGGGGAGGTGCCTTCTGCAGGTTCTTCGATCCAGGACAACATACCCATCGCAGCATCCAACACCAACATCGGCACAACATCCACGGAGGAAGACGGTTTATCACTGGCGCAACGCAGAAGTCGACATGTTGATGTTCGCATGCCATCACGTTATAGGCAGTACGACGATGTACTCCCGCAGCCTCCCCCCAGTGTTCCAAGTCATATCGTTCAACAAACGGAATCTATCCCCGTCGCAAATTCCACTAGTGTACTAACCACGGCTTGTATGTCGTTGCGACCCGCTCCTTTCCGCACGGCAAGGAATGTATTCGGACTAGTGCGCCAGTTTTTCTCTTCAACCCCCCCGTCTCATGACCCAGAAGAGGCCGCAACACTTCACGATATTAGTTCTATTCCTATTCCTACTCCAGCAGGTCAGGATGGCCCTGCTGAGCCTCACAACTCGTTTCACCCATACCCCAATCAAACATCCTTCGAGCTTGGGCATTGGTACTGGAATGGCACGGCACAGAAGTCGCACCAGAGCTTCAAAGGCTTGCTCGATATCATCGGATGCTCGGATTTTGATCCCAATGATGTGTGACATACGCATTGGGACAAGATCAACTCCAAATTAGGTGCGAGTGTCGATGAAGAGGATGATGAATGGTTGGATGAAGATGCAGGTTGGCGCAAAACGGAAGTGACAATCGAAGTCCCTTTCTCTCGAACCACAGCTCAGCCAGGCGTTCGACCTTACATTGCAGCAGACCTTTACCATCGGTCTCTCATATCGGTTATTCGCGAAAAGCTCGCAAATGCTGAGGATGTCGAACATTTCCATTATGAACCTTATCAGTTGCGATGGAAGCCCCCCCATCTACCGCAAGAAGTCAACATCCAAGGCGAACTGTACACTTCACCAGCTTTCATGGAAGCTCACAGCACACTTCAGGAATCTCCTGGAGAGCCAGGATGTGATTTACCTCGCGTGGTTACCGCGCTTATGATCTGGTCCGATGCCACACAGCTGACGACATTCGGCAATGCAAAGTTATGGCCGGTATATATGTACTTCGGGAACGAATCCAAGTACCGCCGTTGTAAACCGTCTCACCATCTCGGTAATCACGTAGCCTACTTTCAAAAGGTATGATAATTTTTTAATTAACTTACTCTTCTGCATTGACATGCATGATGCAGCTCCCGGACGCATTCAAAGACTTCGCGGGTACTCACACTGAGGGCAAGGGTGTTGGCCGCGAGTGCACGACACATTGTCACCGCGAATTGTTCCAAGCCCAGTGGAGGATTTTGCTGGATCGCGAATTTTTAGAGGCTTATGAGCATGGAATCGTCATTCTCTGCTGCGACGGCATCAAACGTAGGTTTTACCCGCGCATATTTACCTATTCCGCAGATTATCCCGAAAAGTGAGTTATGAATGTTCGTCAATGAAAATACAACCTCACCTCACCTCACCTCACCTCTACCAGGGTCCTCGTTGCCACTATCCGGCAGCTCGGAGGATGTCCCTGCTCGCGATGTCTCATACCGAGAACAAGGCTTCATCATCTGGGTATGGCTCGTGATAGGCAACAACGCGCGACTCTTGCGCGTTCTGATACCTCAAGGAGTCCGTTGGTTGCCACCGCACGCAGTCTCATCTATGAGAAGCATTATGGTGTCGATAGCACAGCAGTTGAGACCATCCTCAAACCTGATTCGTGGGTGCCAACCTCCGTGAGGATGCCCACCAGTCTCTTTCTCACCTTTGCTAACCTTGATTAGAATGCATTTCTAGATACTCTCGCACCTTTCGGATTCAACATCTTTGTTGCACTTGTTGTTGATCTTTTGCACGAGGTTGAACTCGGAGTATGGCGCATGCTTTCTAGTCCATCTACTAAGAATTCTTACTGCCTTGGATAAGGACCTGATCAATAAACTCGACGAGAGGTCTGCCAGATATTCATTTACAACGGCTTTGCAGGCTAAACTTACCTTTGACAGGTATAGGAAGGTCCCTTCGTTTGGACCGGCCACGATTAGACGGTTCTCTTCGAATGTTTCCGAGATGTCGAACATGGCTGCGCGAAATTTCGAAGATCTTCTACAAGTATGTACTCGCAAGATTCTCATACATAGCCGCGAACTAATTTTGTCAGTGTTCTATCCCTGTCTTCGATGGTCTTTTACCCGTCCCTCACAACAAAGTTCTTATGAATCTCCTTTTC